AGCCATTACTTTCCGGCTATTATGACGTCACGGGGAAAATAAATTCTCACGTGATCTGCATTTGGCGAAAAGACTGTGTGGGTGTTGTAGCATAGTTGTAACCAGATGATAATGAAATAGAAGCTATGACTGACTGGTATGTGGCTATGTGTGCTAGTGAAACAATTATATTCACTATTTTGTCACAATTTGTTTTGAACATTATTCTTTGTGTCAATGCATATAGATCTATAATGCCTTGTATGATAGATACTGTATAAGTCAGTGGTTTTTTTTAGGGTTGCAAATTTTGCGGATTCCATCCCGATTTGCGAAAATAAAATCCACGAAAATCAATTTAATACCGTACCTACATGGCACACTTGGTAGAATTTAGTGCGAAATTAAAATCTGTGAATTGGAATTTTAGCAGATCTCACGAAATATAATTCCCTAAAAAAAACCACTTATATGGTAATTAATGTCCTTATGTTGTTTAGAAAGTTTGAGTTGATTCCGACTAAAAGTTTAAGTGTTATGGCCATTTTAAAAAATCAGCTGAGTTTCCAAAAAATGGCTCCAAAACCAACCCCAATTTTTATTACATTTTCTGATACATATTGATGTCTTTATGCTGTGTAGAAAGTTTGAGCTGATTCTGACTGAAAGTTTTGGAGTTATGACTATTTTGAAAAATCAGCAAATTTCTGAAAAATCCCTGTACTGTTAGTAATGCGTTAGTGTTACTAAGTAGGATTCACCCCACTTCAAAATTGCTGCCACGACTTTTGCAGCCAGGAAAACAAGCTCCTATGCTTACCAGACTTTTTAGAGTACCTTATCTTGACCAGAGGACTCCATTGGTACCACTAGTGTGGCTCTAAACCTTGTCTAAAAGGAATGTCAAAAATTGAGAAAACGGCCGTTTTATTCAGCCACCTTTTTTCATCTTCAACATCATCAAGTCTTATGGCCCATGGTTTTTTCCAAAAAATGACTCAGAATTCACCCCAAATTTTTATTACATCTGATACATATTGATCTCCTTATGTTGTGTAGAAAGTTTGAGTTAATTTCAACTAAAATTTTTATATCTCTTTCTCCCTCTCTTTCTAGTCTAATTTCATTCATTCTATAATTACAAGCACTCACTGTTGACTCGATCTTCTCTCATCATAAATTGTTATTTCTGCCTCTAAACTAAACTAATTTAACATTTTTGTTTACTTTTAATAATTATAATTAAAAAACTACATGCACGTGTACACTCTAACATAAATTATTTTAATAATTTTGTGATACTACTGTTATGCTTGGCTTTAACAATTAACAACAATTTTTATTAATGATTTATATAATTAAACTTCCAAATTCAACCCTGCATGATATTTCTGCTTTACTAAGGCCTCAAGGGCCTTGTATTTAATATAAAGTAGATTGATGTAGCAAGTTTCTTCTCATTTTTGGAGGTGAGCTGTCAGCAATACAACCCTCCAAAAATAGAGTATATTGGAAGCATGAGGGAGGTTGCCTTACTAATTGTTCTCTTTCTTTCATTTTTCATTCTATGTACTGCTAATACTAGAGAGTATGTCAAGACTACTGGATGTCAGGTAGCTATAATGTGAGTCATTTCTTCTATTACTCTCCTTCTTTTTCCTATAGAGGACTGAGAGTTGTCTGTATGAGTACACTGCTGCTGCCAAGATAACTGGAGGAAGACAAATTGATGTCTCAGCTCATGTAGAAGTGTTTTGTGAATCAGGTCAGCCTTCCCCCTCTCTCTCCCTCCCACTCCCTTTCCCTCTTGCTCTCTCTCTCTCTCTCTCTTTCTTTCTCTCTCATCTTTCACTACTTGTACATGTACATGCATGCATGCATACCATATAGCTGACTTTCTTAAAAATTTTGTAAACTGCAAAATTAATTGCAATGATAATTTAACGAGTGAAAATTTGAGACCATGAAATTAAACCAGCTATGCAAGTAGTTTTAAGGCTTAAACCATGCATTATTAATCTTATGTGCTGTGTTTTATGCAGTTGGTCGGTTTGGTGATGAGATGTCAGTGAGATCTTGCATTAATGTCAAGAA